ATCAAAGTATACATTTGAATTTCCTCTTACAGAAGATTACTTCCTTGTTTCCTTAAGACTGGGACATAAAGCAGCAAAAAGGTGCCATTCCAGACCTCCTTTCTTCTCATCAGATTCTCTTCCACAATAAAAATAAATTTGAGTAGTAGTTTATCCACAACAATACTGATTTTACTGCATTAATGATTTACTGCATACATTTTACTTCATTAAAACACCCCTAATTAAGCTGGTTTTCCCCTTCCTTTGTTGACAGACTTGGAAAATACGTATGAAAACAATCAAAAAGTCCTGGAAGACAAAGCCAAGCAGTTGGTGGAGCTGGAAGAGACAGTTCGCTCCCTCTTACAGACAATCAGCCAGAAGGTTGCTGTTTATAGCACTTGCTTATGAACAGGAGCAGGAAAGGCTTGTCTTCAGGATGGGTTTTACAAGTATTAACACTAGTTCTTTTTGACATTACACTAAGACCTGATCAAGTGAACAGGTTTTATATTGACTCTCAAGTCACAGAACCAAAGACAAGTAACTTTTTGATGCTGAAAATAAACAGTACTTTTGTATCACTGTATGTACCTAGTATGACTCATTAAGTTCCTTTCTGTTTTCAGTAGCTGAAGTGGTGCATCAATTAATCCTTTAGCAAGTCTTGTTTTTAAACTGGTTAGAGAACTAACAGAATCTTGGCTCCAAGTACGTAACGCTAAATAAGGGCTCCAACTCCTATGAAGTACCAATGGTCACTCAGAACAACATCACAAGTGAATGAAGAAATACCACCCTGTGTGGTTAGCTAGCATTTGCACCACAGCACTCTATTTACCCTCGGCATGGCATCCAGGTAGCCTTCACACTCTGCTTTCATGTCACTGATTATGAAACACTTGATATGTGAAGTGGCAGGGTCAGCATTGAAGGGGTGAATGTGGTTTACATTTCAAGCATCAGATTTACTTGATAAATCAAGCTTGGAGGATCAAGCCTCTCTGGAAGAGGAACTACAAAAAGTTCACAGAGCCCTTAATGAGAATTGGTTAAGGAGCTGTACGCACCACAGCTCTCTAAGAACAACTGGCACTTAACAGAACACAAGACTTTTTTCAAAGTGCAAGAATAACATGCAGATTATGAGCATAAAAAGTTATCTGTGAAACAGTGCACCTTCAGACGATTGTATAGTACTGCACAGATTGATTTACAACATTTATCAACTGGACAAATTAGCATCCAAAACAGCAAGAAGCATTTACACATCCTGACAGCTAACTTTGCCCTGAGGAACACAACCGTATGTATACTCTGATCTACACCTTACCTAACCTTGACTAAGATCGAAAGTCAGTCAGAACAGGACAATCACCACGTAAGCAAACGGAAGAGCAGTATGTTTAAATATTTACCCCCAAGCTCCACAGGTTGCAAATGCTACAGCAAAAAATCCATCACAGGAATAAATTACCATACACCACTTACTCCCAGTATACGTAGCAACTGTTAAAAACACAGTTTGCAAACTTTCCTACATTCAGATGGCACTACCATCAGAGAGCTGACAGATGGCTTTGTAAACTTACCTTGAACAAGAGTGACAGCAAGAGAAGCAGCAATACAGTAACAATTTTAAGGCCTTAAATTTTATTTTCAAGTGTCTGGGGAACTATAGACTCCAGCATAATTTCAGTAGTGTTCTTGATTACAGTTTCCCTGACTTTCCAAACTTCATTTAACGTGAACAAAATGAGATAGGAGGATTTGTAACTGATGAACCTCCGGGCTGAACAGTAAGACTGCCACAAGTACTGAGCGAGGTGGAGGGAGTGGACACAAAGCACAGGGCTTCTAGGGAGAACTTGCAAGCACAAGATTAACGACAGCATTTACCTGCAGCAGGTAGTAGTGATTCTGAAATGCCAACACCTACTGGAAGAATCAAGTTTTTCTTCCCTCATTATTGTCTCACCTTTTGCTTTCCCCTTCAGCAACTTCCTTCTAAAACCTGGAAGCAGAGCCACATTAATTCACTTAACCCAGTGAATCCACAAATTGGATTATCTCATACACTGGTGATAAGCTTAATGAGCTGTTGTGGTTTAACCCATCAACATTTAAACCAGGAGTTTAAAAAAAACCAAACCAAAACCAAGAACAGTATCACGGGTGGTTGTTAAGTGAAATCTTCTTAGAATGGTAGTGTTGGCACGTATTTCCATCACTCACTATGGACAATGGATCAAAACTTGGATAAGAAACTCTAAAAGAAAGGTCTAAGGATATAACCATCTTGTCTATACACAAAACCAAGCAGCTGTATGTAAGCACCTTTCTCATCTATCATTCCACTGACATCATGGAAGAGGGCAAGCATGATACCAGCAAGTTATTAAGGTTTTCTTCAAGGCAGATAAGCCAAAAAAATGAAAAGGGCACCCTGCAAAACCAAGCTTCAACTGAGCTATTGGAATTGGGCATGTTCCATATGCATGTTTAGGGATCTTCCAAAGGTATCATTTGTTTGGAAGTTTCTTCACATACTCAACAGCTTAGACACTAGAAGGAATAACAGGGCTGATCAAAACAAAGGCAAACAAACCCCAAGACCCTCCAGCCATGTTAAATATTTATTAAGCTCTCTTGCTACAGAAGAGGCAGAAAGAGAGCACAAAATAGAAAACAGGAAGAAAATATGCCTTAATTTTGTGGAGAGCTGACGCTGCAGCCGGTATGTGCGGAAGGTGCAGAATAACCCCCATGTCACAGCACTTAACAGCAAGCGCTGCTTCACTACCCAGTTCTAGCATTTCAAGTTTAAGAGAGAAGGACAAGGGAAGCTTTACCAACAAAAAAGATTTAAGTAGCAGTAAGACTAATTTGTCCTCAATATTTCATTTCTCCACCAGCACTCGATTTTTCCTGATGAGTTTTCAATATGAAAACACCCACACGTGGAGAATCACACACAGAGAATAATCTTCTCTTTAAAAAGTCAACATAGCTTTAATTAATCTATACGAGCCCCTCTTCTCCCAACACCCTAACACTACTAGGTCAAAACAAGTTTTGGTATTTGTATGTAAGAAGTAGGTTAAATTCTCAAGTTAATCCTTTCAGAAGGAAACACGTCTTTGTGCGGAAGTGACAGTGGCATTTTAAGTGCCAGTGGCATTGTAAGTGCCAGCATTCAACTGGCTTAGTCTATCACTACTTCAGATAAGAAAACACCAGGTATGATGGACACTTATCCAGAGTTTTGACCAGCACACACGATAATCCATGCAGCAGCAAAACATTTGGTTTTGAAGAAGAGTCCTGTCAGGCCGTTTTTCTGCAACATTCATCATGTAAATAAACAGAAGATTAAGTATTTATTTTACAGAGACTGGATAAATCCACTTGTTCCAAACTTTACTTGTTTAAATATCTGATGTTTAAAATTAAGATATTCACTTAATTCAGTCCTAAAAGACTCAGACTCAGCCTTCCCTAAGGGCCCACAGTCCGTTTTCAGAGATGTACCATACGCGTACAAGGACCTGCTCTTTCATTTTAGAAGTTGATGGCTTTGCCAAAAGATGCCGCTAGGTTTGCTTCCCTGAAGGCTTCTGACACTGTCTGTAGAAAGCAAACACAAAAAGGTACAAGTCATTCATAGTTAGGTGTAATGACAGCATTGTCTGCCTAACCCTGGCGTTTCTTTCAGAAAAGACTTACTGGATGGGCATGGCAAACTCTGGCTACATCTTCACATGATGCTCCATATTCCATAGCAAGGGCAGCTTCATTAACCATCTCCCCAGCACCCTGTGAATTAATGGTATTTGCAATTAGCACAAATCTTTGGGCAGCTGACCAGGTTCTCCTCAGCCAGTAGCAGCCTGTAAATAAGCATCTTTGGCTAAACAGGAAAAGTTGTATTAGAACTAGCACTTCAGCTGCGTTCTAGTAGACGCACTTCATCTATTTGGTGACTGTGCTCAAGCCTAGTGTAAACCTAAACATAATTCTTAACAAGAGTCTTTGTCCTCTCATTAGTGAGAGTTGTGCAAAATCTGGGCATTTTTCCACTACAAGACACGAGTCAGCTAATACCCACATTCTCAAAGCTACAGTCTACTTTATCGCTGCTGAAACCTCCCCAAAACTTCAGCAGCCTCCCGGGAAGTTGAATGGGTAACTAGACAAACAAGATGCATTACTACAGCCTGCACCCTCATTTTTATTTGTTGTATCTATGTGCATTAACCAAGAGAACATTTCTTTGAGGAGTCAAAAATAGTGAAACCTGTCACATTTTTAGCATTCAGATCCTCAACCCTAAGATTTTCCCCTGGCCTTTTCTCAAAGAAGAAAACCAGTCTCTCTCACATTGATACACCTAAGTTGTGCTTCCTTTACAGCGTGCTGATTTTTAAGTTACCAGCACTGTGAGAGAAATTAACTAGCAATAACAGCTTATTGTGTATTCCTATCAGAAATGATGACAATTGGATTTAGAAACAAAAAGCCTATCCACTAGTGTTGACAGTATAGCCATTCATGGGAATAACATTTCCTTCCAGGAAAAAAGAGAACAGTTTAGTGTTTCTCTTGAAGACGCATGGAAATGTTTCTGCATACATCTTTAGGGAAAAAAGATTGTTTAAAGCTATTAGGGTCTAACTTTGGAAAGTGTGGGAGAGCAGAAAATGACAATTTTTGCAAACAGAATTTTCTGATTTCTTATTTTCACAAAGGATTTTTCAACATTCAGTAAGCTACTGACCCCAGATTTGGTAAGTACAGCATACAGTTACTGGCTTTGCTGAAGTCTGAAGTTTGAGGCGGGGCGGGGAAGGAAAACATCAATGAAAAAGCCAGAATCTGTTCAGCTCCCAGAACTTGAGTCAACAATTTCTGCTGCTCTCTCAAGTATTTGGCAATATCCATAAAAAACCACAACTGGTCAGAGAAGCCAATTAACTCTAGCAATTCTAGGGGAAAAACAAAACCTGGATGTAACACTAAAGGAACAGAAGTGGGAAGAAGGGCAGGGCTGCAGAAGAAAACAGTAAGTGGAAGTACAGTAGACTCAAATGTCCATTTCTTTTGACAAGCACCACTTCTCCTAACTTGACAACCACTTTGCAACGCTAAATACAAGACCCCTACAAGGCCAAGACAGCAGCGACTGACAATACTTACTGCGCCTAAAATGTGAGCGCCCAACATCCTGTCTGTTGATTTTTGACTCAGTATCTTCACCATGCCATCTGTGTCGGCGTTTGTCTTTGCTCTGCTGTTTGCAGCAAATGGAAACTTCCCGATTTTGTATTCTATACCCTGCAAAACAGGCTACGTGTTACTGAGTTAACGACCAACAAGAACAATGTAACCATACAGGCAGTTTGGTAAGTACAAGAGCTGAAGCAATACAAAACTAGAAGACGTTAAGACACACGGAGCAATGTGTAAGAACCACCACCAAAAGGGGTAGAAGGGGATATATTAAAAAAAGATTAATTAGCCGTTGAGCAATATTAACTCCACAGAACAGAAGTCATTAGAGAGAACTGTGCTCTTTGGGAGACTGGCATGCAGGAGGGAATCATTCAATCACACACCCTAAGCAATAAATTCAGACGCAGAAACCCTCCTGGAAGAAGTGTCCAAGCAAACTACTAGACAACAAAACCATGCCCAAGGTGGAAAACCAGTTTTGTCAGAGAGAGGGACAAACAGTACCTCTTCTTTCAGCTGTTCTTCTGATTTGCCAACCCAGGCCACTTCGGGGTGAGTGTATATCACAGAGGGTACGCAGTTATAGTCAATGTGAACTGCTCCCCCGGCCATCCCTTCCACACAAAGAATGCCTTCATCCTCGGCTTTGTGGGCCAGCATAGGTCCAGCAACTACATCACCAATAGCATAGATGCTATCAGACCAATGAAACAGAATAAGACACTGTTTAAAAACATCCTAGCACATCTAGGCTACCTTATATAATAGTCAGTTTGACACGTTACTGAAAACTTGAATCAGAACAGATGAAAACACTGAATTTCAAAAGAAATGCAAAGTATAGAAAAAAGCACTTTCCACAGAATGACCACACTTCAAGAAGAGACACAAAATAGACAGTGACTTTTAAATTACAAAACTTCACAGGTTGACTAAAAATCTAGTTCCTGAAATTACTTGAGTTTTCTTATGAGACAACTATATTCTGCAATTAAAACAAAAAAGTGCTTTAGTAGGCTAAAATTTTAAAAATAAGAGTTCTGCTTAAAAAAAAAAAAAGTAAAATTACTTAGTCTTACTTACTTTGGAATTTTGGTTTGGAATCTGTTATTGACTGGGATTCTTCCTCTCTTATCAAGTTCAATTCCAACATCCTCAAGACCTAGATTTTTTGTAAAAGGACGTCTACCGATGCAAACCAGGAGCACATCACAAGTTATGACTTCTGCCTTGCCACCAGCAGCAGCTTCAACACTATGGAAAAATAAAGCACCAAAAGTGCCAAGCTGTAAATTTTCAGCATTGTATTTCTCTGACTTGCAATTAATACGATCCAGAGGGTGACCCAGTGGCTGGATCTGGCATTACAAACATTCTGCATTCAGCCTGCCCCATGCTTCTTCCTTGCAAGAATTGAGGAGTACAAAAGGGAGGCAGGTGCAATAACTCTTACTACATTGTCAACAACTCTTGGATACAGAAATTCAGGGTATGTATCCACTAGCAAGGAGCGTGACCCGTTAGGACCAAATCTGTGCAGCAAAATAACTGGTGCTGAGTACTCGATATCCAAGTTGTGTATGTGTTGAGGTGGGGTAGGGCCTGTGTTGTGAGCAAGCTTTCTTCTGGCCCAAGAAGCAAACCCCTGTTAGCAGCTGCCCGGCATCAGGTGCATCCCCCAAGGGCAGCTTTGTGTTTAACCGCACCCAGAACAAGTTCAGATCATGTGCTCTGAGAGCACGAGGACCAAAGCATGGTGAGGGTGAGCACAAGTGTGTTTCAAAAGCACATACTCCTGAAACAAAATGGAATTCTAAATGTAGAAACAGACTACATGAGAGATCCAACCAGTATCAGCACGGTACCTACAGAAGCCCAAATCTAGGACCCCTACTGTGGTGGAGGACAGACAATCCCAAGGTATGGCGATACAGCAAATCAAAGTCACCATATTAAGATTCCAGTGAAAAAACATTTATGCTTACTTTTGTAACATTAAGCATTTTCTTAAAATTCAAACTACAGGTTCTGGACAGAGACCACGTTAACAAGAAAAAAGAAGTAGCGCATACGTATGGACTTTCACAAAGCAAGTTTGCTTTATGATGTTTCTGTATTACTGTTTACCTGTAAGTCTTCAAAAGGCTTGAGTGTGGCCACTAAAAGACACTCTGAGGTAGTTTCATTTATTTCTGCTCTAAAGCACTAAAGTCTCTTCCACGCTTACTTTGAGACAACAGGAGGCAGGGACAAAACCCGTCCAGTAAGCAGCCATGAATGAAAGGCTTGAAAATGACTGTATGAACAACCCCTTTTTTAATTACACCAGAAGCAAAGATCTTCTGTGAAAAGAATGATTTAGAATTCTGCTTTTATCACTGATCTCACTGTTACAACACTGGTTTTATACTAGCACACCTTCGACTCAAGCTAACAGAACCTCTCCTGTATAAGCAATATAGGTCTCAATGAACCCAAAATTATGAGCTCTAAGTTACAATACAGGATAAAAATTAAATTGCACTAAAGAATTAAGTTTCATCAGAAAACCATTTTTCCTGTTTAAAAAAAAAATAATCAGACCGTATGTTTAAATACTTTTGATGGATTGGGAGGAAGAACATATATGCCATTCCTTTGGTTTTATATCAAAGACTTACGCTACGTCAATCTTTCCATCTGGTTTCTTGGTAGCACCGGTAACTTTGGTGTTCAGTTTAAACTTAAGTCCCTGTTTCTGAAGAATACGCTGGAAGTTTTTAGAGATCTCCATATCAATTCCCATTCCACCAACATGGCCCATGAACTCAACAGCTGTCACGTCTGCACCGAGGCGCTGCCAAACTGAACCCTGCAATCACCACAATATAGGTAAAAAGGTTTTTTGAAAAGCAAACTTCACATTTCTTTAATATTTAGCACAGAATGTAAACTTTGACAGCAGGACAACACGTAACAGCAAACTGATCCCTTTTTTATGGGTGTTGCAGTGTAGAATAAAACAAGTCTAACTTTCCCCAGCCCCTCCACAACAAATGGATTTATCACTGCTTGTCTGCACACCCAAAATTTCTGATTGAATAAATGGAATTTAGCTTTTGAAGAAATAGCTAACAAAGTAATTAAGTATGTTCTAGGCTATAGGTACAGAAAGATTCAAAATCAAAGAATCTGAATGTAGCTCACAGAACCCAGAGGAAATTGCTTGTGGTGTTCTACACTACAAAATAAATCACAACAGTACCACATTAAGGAAATTTTATGCAACAAAACGGAACCACCACTGCTTCTGTATTTCTAACCATAACCACTATCATCAGCTTCATCAACAAAACCCACATACACCCTACTTACTAACAGTTACCCACATCCATCCAACACGGTATTCTACTTTGCTTCCTCCTTCCCTGCTTAATGGCTGGCAGGCTAAGCTACCACTAAGCAGATGTGCAAATTCACAAGCAGTTGCAAGACCAGCACATACACGTTATTTTTGAACCACATAGGTATGAAGCAAAAGGACTCTGACCAAGATGAAGTACAAAGTCTCTGCTCCTTTAGTTGTTAAACAGGACGTGCACAGTCGTATCGAATAAAAAGTTTCTTGGGATTAACTGCTGCACACAAGAATTTATCCTGACTTAAAATGAACTTTCCTTTCAAAAAGAAGTTCTCTCATCTATACAAAGAGCAGGTACAGACCTCAGCAAAAGTTACATCCCCCCTCCCCCAAAAAGCCCTGCATGTGAGGCACTGTACGTTCCCTCTCATTTCTCTGTTGAACTAACCAGCCGCAGGAGTACTGAGCCTACGAACACTTATCCCAGCTTTTCTGGTAGAAAAGGAAGCTAGCAGACTATGAAGTCTGAACAGTGTCATTACAACTCAATTAACCAAACATCTGTTAACTATAAAACAGTAACACCCTCTTCCTTTATAAATTAAAGGCCAAGTGGTTTAAATATCCTCTCACCAGTTCCACACCAATGACTCCTGCACCAATGACAACCATCTTTTCAGGGACCTTTTTCAGTGACAGTGCACCAGTGGATGACACAATATTATCTTCATCAATCTAATGACAAAGAAATCCACAAAGGCAGGTTTACAATCTCTTTTATACATTATATATAAAACACGGAGAAGGAGAAGTACAATCAGATGCAAGAAATCATCACACATTACAATTATGTGGATATAACACATAGAAAGAGTACCATTAGGATGTCAAATACATACAGTAATTCCAGGGAAGGGAGCAACTTCTGAGCCTGTGGCTATAAGTATGTTCTTTGTATTGATAACTTGTGTGCTGCCATCTTCTTTGGTTGCAGTGACTTGGTTTTTGCCAGTTATTTTTCCAAACCCAGCTACATGTACAACCTTTAGTAATCAGAACACAGAAAATTCAGATTCACATTACTTTTATATAAGTGATGCTAATAATCTGAATCTCATTAACGCTTTAGAGAAGCTGCTAACATGTACCTTTGCATCACCGTCTGGTACAAATCACAAAGTAATTGTATACTATTCTTTTAAGCAGATTAAGAATGAAGGAACAGTTCATTTAAAATTTTCCTAGAAGAGAAGCATTCTAAGTCTGCCCTTGCCGAGTCAGCCACTTGAATTAATTTACATGGCGAGAGTATGAAAATGTAAAAAGCAGGAAATTAAATCAGAAAACAACATGGATATACCTCAGTATATAATCCAAACTCACCTTGTTTTGTTTAAATAAATGAGCAATTCCACCTGTTAGGGCCTTCACTGCACCACTCTTCTGTTCCATCATCTTCTCTAGATTCAGACGGATTCCTGTGACTAAGGTGGAAAAAACCCCACTTCTATCAAGCACTGCAGCGTTGTTATTTACAGGAGCGAACTGAAACACGATTAACAGCTCTGACACACTAAGATGTGTTCTACGGCCCTATTAAACACTGAAGGTTACAGTCAACAACTGCTATGTTAAAAAGCAGTATTGCACTTTTCAGATATCACTTATCCTAGTGATAGGACAAGGGGTAATGGGTATAAATTGAAATCAGGGAGGTTTAGATTAGATATCAGGAAGAAATTCTTCACAGAGAGGGTGGTGAGGCACTGGAACAGGTTGCCCAGAGATGTTGTGGATGCCCCATCCCTGGATGTCTTCAAGGCCAGGCTGGATGTGGCTCTGAGCAACCTGGTCTAGTGGAAGGTGTCCCTGCCCACGGCAGGGGGGGTGGAACTAGATGATCTTTAAGGTCCCTTCCAACCCAAACCATTCTATGATTCTATGATTCTATCTATCCATGATTCAGGGTTCAAGGAGCAGACACGCCCCTAACCCTCCAACTGACTGTTAAAGGATATTATAAATAAGTCTAAAGAGTTTTCTGACCAGAAAACTATAGTAGTCACACTTAAATGATAGAATTTGCTTGTGGCTGGAAACCATTTATGTTAACAGGCAGTGACTATGTAGGCAAGGCCTACAAGGAAGCTGGGAGGGGACTTTTTACAAGGGCCTGTAGTGACAGGACAAGGGGTAACAGGTTTAAATTGAAAGTGGGGAGGTTTAGAATAGACATCAGGAAGAAGTTCTTCACGGAGAGGGTGGTGAAGCACTGGAACAGGTTGCCCAGAAAAGCTGTGGATGTCCTATTCCTGGAAGTCTTCAAGGCCAGGCTGGATGAGGCTTTGAGCAACCTGACCTAGTGGAAGGTGTCCCTGCCCATGGCAGGGGGGGTGGAACTGGATGATCTTTAAGGTCCCTACCAACCCAAACCATTCTGTGATTCTACGATTCTACGTGTTTTTTTACACTCACTTTCAATTCCTCGATTAGCGAAATCTTTTCCATGGGCCAAGTGATACAGATGTGAGTTGTTCAGCAAGGCCTAAAATACACACACAGAAAAAATGTCAACAGGGACATATATTCACAACTGAATTTATTATGATATTATCAGAATAACAAAACCTGATGTGACTTGCAAACCGTTCTCACTGTGAAGAAAAAGTCTGGCATGTACGTATTTAAAAAGGTGTATCGCAAACACTAACTGTACATAGCAGCTCTTACTGAAGTGCTTTATAAAGTTACATACTTAACACAAAAATAGAAAACAGTTAAATTCACATCTATCCTTTTTGCTCATTTCACCAGAAAAATTGGAAATTATTATGGTGATTAAAAAAAAATAGGAACAGACTAAGGAGAGGAGAAAGATGATTTTGACTCACAGGAGAATTTCCTTAGTATCTCAGACGAGATTACTTGTCAATAAAAGATGATACAAAAAAACTGAATGAGGAAAATCTATACTGAAATCCCTGTTATACTTTTAGCCTGTGCAGACACATGTCAGTTGACTTTTGTAGGTGAGTTGTGCTGAGGTTACTAAAACTGCATAGCTAGTTGAGCTGAAGACAGATGGCTTAGAGCTGGCTAAGTTGTTCTTCATGGAGAGGGTGGTGAGGCACTGGAACAGGTTGCCCAGAGAAGCTGTGGATGCCCCATCCCTGGAATTGTTCAAGGCCAGGCTGGATGAGGCTTTGAGCAACCTGGTCTAGTGGAAGGTGTCCCTGCCCATGGCAGGGGGGTTGGAACTAGATGGTCTTTAAGGTCCCTTCCAACCCAAACCATTCGATGATTAGAAATAGCAGTACAGTTAGGCCCTAGTTCTGAAACTATTTAAAAAAGGATTGACAACACCAATATCAAGTTCTCCTGAATTTTTGGGGGCTGGTGAAAATACTAATTTAGCTTGGACAAGTATTTCAAGAGCTGATCAACTAGGCTCTTTGTACAGTCGATGAAGAGAGACAGCTCTCTTCAGAGCATGGCACATCAAACCAAAACCAGAGTTCCTGATTTTTCAGAGGTGCCTCTCCCTCCAATTTACTTTCTCTACCTCTAGTGACACAGTTGAGCATTCCTTTAACGTAAGGATGTCACCTTGGACAAAACTACAGGTTTATTCTGAACAAACTGATATAAGGTGATCAAGGCCTTCACGGAGTACGAGAGGTATAACCATCTGAAACAGCAGTTGCCACTGGTTACAGCGCAGACTCAAGAGCTCAGAGTGAGAAGATACATCTGCATGCACCTCTGATGTTCATGCCCGTCCTCTCTCTCCTCTGGGAAAGCCCACAGAACAGAGTTTGCAAACAAAACCTTGCTATTGAGCAAATAAAACTGTGACCCTTCGTATTACTTGGATCCTCAGCTCATTAGGATGACAATTTCTATTTTTAAAGAAGTTACGTCAATCTTGAGAAAATCCTTAATATTTTTCAAAGTGATGCACATAGTATCTGTTGCTTTTAACGAAGTTACGACAAACTATGTACACTTACCTTGGAAGGAATACATCCAACATTCAAACAGGTTCCACCTAGTGTTTCATTTTTTTCTACACAGACAGTCTGAGGAAAAATAAGAGGGGAAAACAAAATTGTTGAGCAATGCTATGCTACCACTTCCTTACAGGATATCTCACAAATCAGAAATTATGACAAAGATCTGACATTTATCTAAGTAACTCCTCCTCTATGAGTTTCTCCTTAATTTCATTCCTAGGTTTTTCATTTCCTAATTTTGTGGCTCAGATTTCCCCACCCTCTTTTTTTTTCCCTGACTTAAAAGCCACAAAATGGCTTTTTGCAACAAAATTCTCTACGAGAAGGGCCACATTCCCTACTGCACTATTTATACCTTCATATAAGTTTAAGTGCTGCTGTTCTACTTCTAAATTCTGCAAACTTGCCTCAATTAAATAAAACACTCAATACCGTGAAAGATGTTCCCCTTACAATTAAAAAACCAAACCTGCAAAAAGCAAACACACATGAATCATGCAGAAGTTTCCTAAACCAAAGTAATCACAAACAACAGATAAATGAACCAGCACAGGTTGAAACTGCACAAACTGATCTTTTCTTCAAAGAAAACAAAGCAGAATGAGACCTCCAAACCACAAATGCTTCCCCTTCTACACATGCTACTCTGCAAGACCCATTGCTATAAAGTTGTACCAATACCTATAAAGAAAGAAAAAATAAAAACCAAGTAAAGCAAAACCGAGCAAAAATATGGTCAATACCAATGAAGATGGTAAATATTTCATCTCCTTCTCATCAGCTTCCCAACATCAAAGCGTGCAAAAGGAAAATAAAACCTCAAGAAAAAACAGATCACTTGGAGTGGTGGATTGGAGAGAGTATGATAAACATTTTATAGCAGTAAAAGAATTGGCATCTCCTTTGCAAGGTGCACACATGTTCAAAATACTGGTTCCTTCGTGTATACTCTAAGAGCTCCAATCTGCGGAGAAGTGACTACCCAGGTGAAGGGTTTTCATAATTCCTTCGTATTTTTGCTTTTGTGCTGAAGTAGAGGTCACGTAACACGAAGAGCAGAATTCACCATATCAGTCACAGAAACACACTGAGACATGCTGATCCCCTATCTACCCTTCCCTGGTTTTAAGCACATGGATGTATGAAAAATGATCCAAGGGCTCTAAAAGCTGCAATATGGATCACAGCACCAGACTGCTCCTACCTTTACCTGATAAGGAGGTTCTGTCTCATCCAGTTTACATCAACTTCACCGACAAGGTCAAGAAAAGCCAGTGCCCAGAGAATGCTGTTGGCAATAACGTGGGATGCTGTGGTGGTGATTTACGGACTTAATGCTTGTGCCAGCAGACACAGCACTAGAACTGAAGGTTAAAGTTCAGTAATTCAGTAGAGCACACTCAGGTTTTTCCATGGATGGTGTAACTACGGAATCTATCTTTTTATCAGTCTCACAAAAACTTCTCCTTACATTCCTCAAGGACAGCACAACCATTCTGCATGTATATTAAATTCTACAGGTGACACATGCCAGCGTGTCCAAGTATTTTGCCCATTCTAACTAGCTATGAAGCAGTATAACAAAATTATTTTCTGCTGTGATGAAAAACATAATTCAGGGCACTTAACCTCCTTGTAAATGGTATCTGACTGTTAATCATAGACACGAAGTACCTGAGGACAGCGCTGCTCCAAGAAAAGCAGGCATATACCGACAAAAAAACAGTTTTAGGATGAAAAAACACCAAGAACTTAAGTGGTAGAAGGTCTCAATCTCAATTAAAACCTGTAGCACCCTTTTTTTCTCAGGTAATAATAGCCCACATCTAAAAGCAAGAGTATAAAAAATAAAAATTCAAAAACACAGATAAAGACAACTCAAGTTATCTGCACTAGGTCCCAGGCAGATGTAAACTTTTTAATGGAACCTCAAACATTTCTATTCTGGTACAGTGACACATTAGAAGGCTGAAAGATACCCAAAGAGGCATCACTGAAAACCAGCTGTGGGAGTAGTGACCAATGAAGGACAACACTCAGAACTACAGAAAAGTTTAGGCTGAAGGAACTTCCTCTGGAGGCCATCTAGTCAAACCTCCTGCTCCAGACACAGTCAACATCAAAGACGTTATCAGGTGGCTCAGGGCCTTGTCCACCCAAGTTCTGAAAATATCCAAGGATGAAGACTACACGGTCTCTAGGCCTCCGCTCCAGTGCTTCACTGGAACTTCATCACCAACAGGAGTTCCTGTCCTTACCAGGTAGTTAACTCCTTGTCATCAAGTCCAACTGTCATAATCCAGAAGCATTAGGACATGTCAGCCAGCAGGAACATGCTCGAGACTGCTAGCACCACCTTCTCAGACAAGTAATAACACAGTGCCAAGGAAGTAAGCTGGCACATCAGATAATTTCTGTCTTTCAAAATTCTCACATGGCAATGGGATTCCTCTACTCACATTCAAAAAGCACACCAGTTGAATATTATTTTTCCCTCTTTCAAGTTCCCTCAGTCTATTCTTCAGGACAGTTTCTCAGTGGCCTTTCTGACACTGTCTTCCCACCCACCTCCATTTTTCTTCACTGGGAGAAAAATTCCTTCCTAGCATTCTTCTCCTACCTGCTCTTCCACAAGACTAAGACCACCACAATTATCATGTCCAATCAAAAGCAAGCTGTCCTGAGCTGCTTTATCAGTAACAGGACTACCTCCACATCTTCATTTCACCTTCTGTATGATCTGGGTAAGAAGGTAAAGAAAGATCACCCACATGTCAACAGCATCTGGAACAGGTTACCCAGAGGAGCTGTGGATGCCCCATCCCTGGATGTCTTCAAGGCCAGGCTGGATGTGGCTTTGAGCAACCTGGTCTAGTGGAAGGTGTCCCTGCCCATGGCAGGGGGGTTGGAACTAGATGATCTTTAAGGTCCCTTCCAACCCTAACCATTCTATGATTCTATGATCTGGTGGCCCAAGATGTGACAGAAGAATTTCAGTCTTTCAGTATCACACAAACACCTTTCAAGTTCATCTGTATGAATATTCCACTGAGTGAGGTCTCACCTTAAATCCAAGCTGAGCTGCTTTGATGGCAGCAACATACCCTCCAGGACCAGAGCCGATAACTGTGACATCGGCATCAACTGAAACAGAGAACGTTGGAGTTATTTTTGTTTCAGCAATTAAGATTTTACTGCAGGAATACAAGTTTATAGTTTCTGAAATAATTTATGTTTAAAAAACATTTTTTAAAAAGCTTTAACAGCTACTAAAAATGATGCAACTTCATCACCTAGGTTTAGAGAAATGAATTACACCTCACATCTGAAAGTAGCTTAAACAGCCAGTCTTAAATTTTACAGGGAATATAACAAAGTGAAGTGAAATTGAGTACTATCTGACCCCCCCCCCCCCCCCTTGCTATAAATCCTTTAAGAACTTAACCCAAGATGTCTGGATAGTTTTTTAACACATTTTTCCAACATAGCTTCCATTAACGTTTAGTGCAAAAGTCAAATGCTTACTGAGTGCCATAAAATCAGTAGTTTATAAAGGAGAAAACATGGCTGAAATAGAGATCTGTAAACCTCTACTAATGATGAACGCAGCAGAAGCTATGAACTTTGTACCTTATTCATATCTCATGACCACAATCTCCTTTAGAATATTAATTACCATCACTGTCCTCACGTTATATAAAGTTTAACTTCTATTTATAGCTTTAGCTTGATATTAAATAAGACAAATAAACCACCATTTTTCATCTAAATCTCTAAGCCGACATGGATTCCACTATCACCTGGAAGAGTGATTTCAGAGTCTGAAGAGCTTTGGTTTTTGCATTTTGGGAGTATGGGGTGTTGGTCTGGTTTTTTTTTTTTGTCCAAATAAATTCTTCATGATTCATTACCTTGATCAGCATAGGTCCTTTGCGACCCCGCACAAACTCCCTGGAGACCATGATGAATTCGATCAAAATGGCTTCTCTAGAAAGAGAAAAACAACTCGGTTTTAAAAGCTGAAGTCTACCCTTGAAGAAAAACAAACATTCAGCCACAGACAGACAAACACACAGTTACAGTCACCAAGCAAAGCAGAAAGAACACGGCAGGCGCTGACTGGAACAAGAGGTCGTGCCACTTACCCGCCCTGCAGCCTCGGCCTGTCACTACACCTGCTGCCATGTCAGCCCAAGGCTGCCTCTAACGACACCAACCTTCAGCCCTTCGTACGGGGCTCTCAAACCACTTAATGCCCTAAATTAGACACCCACAGGAGTTTATCAGGAGTCCTGCCGTCCCACCGCCATACCCTT